TGCCTGGTTAACCTTATTAACCTAGTTAAGCCTTCAAATGTAACTTTAAGCTGTATAGAAGTGTCTTGAAAAGACCAAATAAATCAGTTATTACAAATGAGTTATTAAACTATGTTTAGAAATGTTGAAAAAAAAACTATCCATTAAACAGAAATTGGGGAAAAATAAACCGTGGGGCTAATAATTCAGGGGGGCTAATAATTCTGACTGTGTGTGTGTGTGTGTGTGTGTGTGTGTGTGTGTGTGTGTGTGTGTGTGTGTATTTGTGTATTTGTGTATTTGTGTATTTGTGTGTGTGTGTAGATAGATAGATAGATAGATAGATAGATAGATAGATAACCACAAGTAGAGTAAATGTTGATATAATAGTGATTTTAAGTGCTTTTGTTGACGTGTGAGACTAATATTCTCACAACTATGGAATCACTAAATGGTTTTCTTAATGAAACATCTATAATTTTTGAATGGGATTTTTCCTCCTTTATCAGTGAACTATGACTAATGGCTAGTAAAGTTTGACCCATTTTCATTTTTAAGAACTTTGGGAAATATTTAGATTTTCTGTCACAAATTTTTTGTTAAACTTTTATTTTGACAGGTTGCCAACTTGCCATAAAGATTTTTAAAATTGATGGGAAATTGAACCCGCATTGCCCAAATGAGCTCATTATATATTAATGTATACCATATTTGTTTTTATAAATTCTCAAAGATTTCTAAAGCCTGGTGATGTGATTAACTTTTATGTAATTTTATTCAGCGGCTTCAATTTAGATTTAAGAAAAGTAATAAAAAATTTGTGAAGTAATTTTGCTTGGTGCTTATTGCTATTTTGTTTTGTTGCACATATTTATTCATATAAATTTATTATTCATAATTTATTCACATATCATTTATTTACATTAAGTTTGCCCTAATTGTTTGAATAAATATCCCATGCCAGATCCTTTAAAAAGCGCATTTGTTTTCGTCTAAATATTTTTCAGATGCCACATTACTTTAATGCTCAAAGGTTTAGTTCACCCAAGAATTGTTAATTGTCGTCCAGTACTACTACTACTACTACACTTGTTTCAAACCAGTTTGACTTTCTTTCTTTGTGTTGTACACAAAGAAAAATACGCTGACGAATTTTGGAAAAAACATTTATGAGCCATTGACTTATTTGGTTCCTACTGTGGATGTAAATGGCGTTCTTCAGAATATTTCAGAACATCCCATTCAGATTCGAAGACAACAAGGTGAGCGCATCAGAGAAATTCTTAACCTTTAGAACCACTTGAAGATGAGTAAATAGTAAAGTTTCATTTTTTGGTGAACTATCCCTTTAAATACAATGAATTTTGAACGTGATGTGATCTTCGTGCAAAAATCCTGTTTGCTTACCACAAGGAAGCTCTTATAAATCCATGTGAGATTAATGGACCTCCGTTCACCTTTCATTCTTTTTTAATTGTTGTCCCTCTTGTTTGTTTAAATAAAAGGCAGTTGTCAAGGATGTCAATGCTCAAATTGTATGTGTGTCAAGATATAAAACCTGCGGAGCTGGTTATCATACCAATCGGAGCACGACTTTCTCAACTGTTGACTCTGTATTGTCAAGATGGTGATAAATGCTGAAAACTGGAAGAGTAACTCGACTTGTTTTTCCCCCTGCCGGTCCAAGACCTCCCAAGCTTCCAGGGAAGTGGTATTGTTGAACTTTGGGGATGAAACATTTTTACTGCCTTGAGTCATCAGGAGCAGAGTAATACTCGAGGAGACGCTGCTGTTTATAGAGTTTCTGTTTTAAAATGCTGCAGTGTTCGTTTATATGTTGTCGGATTAGATCATGAAGTTAAGCATGTAAGAGTTTGTATCACCTCCTGCAAACATCTAAAAAAATGCTGTAGTTTTATTTGTGTGGCAGGGAGTATTGTATACAGAATTAAGCGGGTTGCACACTGGATACGGTGCACCATGGCTTGTAGAATTATAAACATAGATTTTCATAAGGGTATGCACACTGTATGCCATTTATTTGCATTGATAACTGTAAAGGCGGGATGTACCAAGCAGCTTTTTATAAGAGTCAAGTCTGTTCCTCCAAACGTGAATGCAATATTGGCTTACAGAATTAAAAACTTTTATAAATATTATTATTTAAATGTTATTTACATGGCTCTTAAAGCTGATTTATACATCTGCATCAAGCGCATGCGTATGCTCCGGCGCAAGGGCATAGAGCAAGCTTTGTGATTGGTTGGCTTGGTAGCTGTGACCAGTGTGGACGGGACTGAACTCGTTTAAGCGAGTGTTTTCAAGTATTGAGTTTGTTGAAGTAGCTCTATGGAAACTTTTGTTTTGTGTTTACCTTATGATTAATGTTGTTGCACGTCTGTTGTAGTTTTAGCTACTTGTACAGTAAGAAAGCGTTCAGAAAAAACAAAACATCACGAAGAAACACGACATTGAGGAACGTAAAAACCTTCCGCTACCTAGCATTTCGGAAGTGTTGTTGCAGAGCAACACAAGCAGCTCGCAGAAGTATAAATGCACAACTACACGCAAAGCAGGCACTGTGGGTCACACAGATCACTCCACGTAGAATTATAAACAATAGGGATATTGTAAATACCGTCATACCGCAATAGCCATTTCTTTCAATATTACCGTGGTTGTGACTCAGTAAAATCATAGATCTTTTGGTAAAAAGTTTGCTCAGGCAAATGGAGCGAACAGGAGGTAGCAGAAACTACAATTCCAATCAGCCCAGGCGTGGCCATCATCCTTTGCGGTCTGTTGTCGCTACAGATCCAGTAATGGTCGAACCTAAAGTGGGTTTTTAATCGGATGTGTGGAAGCATTTCTGTTTCTCTCTGAAAAGAAACGAAAAAGGAGAAAAGGTGACAGAAAAAAATGGTATGCTGGCACTGCCAGACTGTGCTGAAATAGAAGTCGGGGAATACGACTAACATGATGGGAATTCTTTTAGTCAAGAGGACAGCAGAACACAGCACACTGCTCAGATTGATGGAGACATTGACTTGTAACGCTAAGAGACCTTTATCTCACTCATGGCTTGTCCTTTCGAGTGGTGGTTTTTTTACATGGTTTAGTATTTTTTGTTATCAAAATTTAATAATTGAAGTTCCTGTTTAAAACTTAACAGGTAGATCATTTGTATGTCATTGATCTGTTCAGTGTTCAGGTAACCTGAACATTCTAGCACTTTTTTTGAGTCTCTTCAATAGTTTTGTTTTTCCTTTAAATTATTCAATAAATACCGTACCGTGCCATTCATACCGAGGTATTACCGTATCGTAAAATTTTGAGACCGTTACATCCCTGATAAACAAGGCTTTAGTATACAAAACTAAAGTACGAGTGAATTCATACAAATTAGCCACTAAATTGACAAAAGGTAAAATAGTTATGTTTCTTCTTGAGATTAGGCTTGCTGATCGAGCAACTTTTTCGTGTTTTCATTGACAATTTTATCTAATTGTAATGGTTTGTTTTTGGGACAATTTTGAATTTCCACATCCAGCGCAGAGCCTTGGGGATCAGGGAGAGTCTGGCTTGAGCTCCCCCCTCGTCTTTTTTTTTTTTTTTACCTCCTATCAGGGTGAAGATATTCAAAAACGGCAGAGTATGCGTAGTCGGCGCCAATGTTTTTGGTAGTTTCCTTCGTGATTGTACGCCACAGTCTACTTTGTTTACAGGTTGTGTGTTTGGGTAATGGATTGTGATCCAAGTTGAGAGCCAACCGAACCATTAATAACCTTTTTTGAGGCTTCTTATTGGCCAGCATGGCTTTACGGTTATGATTATATCGCCACCTTTTTCTTTGGCGTGCTCTTGACTGTGCTTCTTATAGGGCGTTTTTGTGTTTTAATATATAATGTGTATAGTTCAATTAGCTTATTTAACAAGTTCATAAGTTGATACGGCTAAATACTGATAACATCTGAAAATTGGCCCCAGCTAGTTAACTAGCCAACCATTAAAACATTTGTTACATTTAATTTAATGCATTTACATTTTCCATGATCGCCATGACCCACAGCACATGCCTTGCGCAAAGTCGTGCATTTATACGTCTGTGTGCTGTTTGTGTTGCTCTGCAATAACAATTCCAGAATGCTAGCTGGCAGTAAGTTGTGCTATGTTCCTCTGTCTTGAGTTTCTTTGCAGGTCTTTTGTTTATTGAACGCTACCTTTGTACAAGTAGCTAAAACTTGATCATTTTGAGGTGGGAACCAGAGTACGTTCAATAAATTTAATCATAAGGTAAACAAACAAACAAAAGTTTCCATCTGGAGCTCCTTCAACAGACTCGGCACTTGTAAACACTCGCTCCATTGGGCTCGCGGCTCTCAGCACCGCCCACACTCGTCAAAGTTACCGAGCTGACCAATCACAGAGCTTGCGCTATGAGTTGTTGCAACATGTAGTTAAAGTTTTTGAGAGGTGCGCGTCAACGTCAGCCATGGTGAGGGCTAAGCAACCACGTGAATGCTGCGCCGCACCATACGCATGTGCTTGACGCAGAAGTATAAATCAGCCTGTAGTACACAATATAACTAACTACAGAAGAAGCCAGCATCAATTTATCTAAATTCTTTGAATTTTTAAGTGGTATGCTAATGGTCTAATCCGATTGAATGATCTATGCTATGCTAAGCTAAAAGTGCTTCCATCAGACTTGCAGATCAGCTGGACGCTTTATGAACTGAATTTTAATGAATATTTTGCGCAAAAAATGTGGCGTTTAACTGCTAAAACATTCTCCAATAAACTTTTGTTTATAAATGTTTTAGTTTATGTAATCTTAAAGTTTTGTACAATAAAGAAAATCTGTAGTAGTGTTGCTACCTTTAAGGTTGCAAAGGCTTTTAATGCATCTATTTTTAATTTGGATTTATTTAATTTGAAAAACTATTTATTAACTAACGACAATATCCAAACATCAGATAATAACCCTCTTTTTTAACACCTGTGTCTGTTTTGCTCCTCAGGGACAGGCGAGAGCGGCAAGAGTACGTTCATCAAACAGATGCGCATCATTCACGGGACGGGCTACACCGACGAGGACAAGCGCGGTTACACCAAACTCGTCTACCAGAACATCTTCACCTCCATGCAGGCAATGATCCGCGCCACCGAGCACCTCAAGATCCCATTCAGATTCGAAGACAACAAGGTGAGCGCTGCACACTTACAATCCCAGCCCTTATCATCGCTTTGATGCGCGTCAAGATGCAAATCAAACCCAGATAGGCCATAAACGTGGCTATAAAAAGCACTACAAGGCTCGCCTGTAAATTTTATTGCTGTCACACCACGGTGAGCTGTCTTTTGTACAGGATTATGGTTAATTATTCCCATGTTTAGTTTTTTTTTGCTTTTAAAGAATCAGTTAATATTTCCTAAAGAAGATCCTTAAAGTTTAACTCCACACGACTTGTGGCCTAGTTGGTTGCGAACTGCTCTGGAAGTCATTAGTATTACACAGCTGTCAAGTCGTAAAATGGGTTGTGTTTTTATTGTGTCTTTATCTGCAGAAAAACGCTCTGCTGGTGCGAGAGGTCGATGTCGAGAAGGTTTGCTCTTTTGAACAGCCCTATGTTGCTGCAATTAATAAGCTCTGGATGGATCCGGGCATCCAGGAAGCATACGACCGCAGGCGAGAGTACCAGCTCTCTGACTCCACTAAATAGTAAGTGTGTGTGTGTGTGTGTCGTCATTTGCTGCTTTTAGGTTTATTGCTTTTAAAATGAGTCTTTGAATCTCTTTTTGAGGTCAGTTTATGTGTCTGAAAGCATGTCATAGATGGGCAAGTACTGTTTTAAAAGGACATTTCACCCAAAAATTACCTAATTATATAATTAGTCTAAACTTTCAGTTCATTAAAGATTTATAAAGTGATAACTGGATCAAACACAAGTCTTTGAGGGTCAAACAATGAAACAAAGTTGCCTTAAATGGCAAATATTCATTTTTGGGCCACCTATAACTTAAAAGGGATAGTTCACCCAAAAATTAAAAAAAAACTCTATTCACCATCAAGTGGTTGCAAATCTTTGTGTTTTGTTGACAAAAGAAGATATTTTGAAGCATGTTGAAACCTGTCATCCATAATAGGAAAAACATTGATATAAATAATAGGAAAAAAAGATGGTGTAGAATTGTTTAGATTATAATTTTTTGTTTTTAAAAAACAAAAGCTCAAATGGGTTTGGAGGAGAAAGTGGAGGAAAAATAAATAATAGCAATGACATTTTCATTATTTGGGTGAACTCTCCTTTTAAGGCCCATTCACACTAATAAAGATAACTATGTGTCCACACCAATGGCCAATAATGTTCAATGTGCTGTTTTGTATTGTTGCTTTAATGGCTTAAGCTCTTTAACATTAAGATTCATCAGCTGGGAAAAAAAATCTCAAAATAATTCAAACTTGATTATTTATCTGTGTCTTGTTTGTGGTTTAGTTGAGTTGTAAATTAGTTTCACTATTCTCGTGACACTTAAAGACTGTTAAAACTATATAGTTATAGTTGTTGACACTACTGTGAATGGGCATTTACAATCTCTTTGTTGTTGTTGTTAAAAATTGTGTAATTAGATCATCACACCCACACTGAATTTATTTATTGGATTTGTGTTCAATATCTTCCGAACTTGAATTTTTGTAGAACACAAAAGACAACATTTTTAAGAATCCATTGCATTGAATCAATAGTAAGCAGTGTCTGTCATGATGCAAAAATAAATCCTTAATCCTTAAAGAAACCAGTTATTTTTGCAGTTTCTTCTCAAGACAATAACAGGAAAAAAGGCAGAATCGTTTATCTTATTTACCTTTTTTCATTCTGGTTACCTTTATTTTTGTAAAGAGTAAACTGTTTAAGTGAATAAAAATGATCAAGTGGATATATGAATGTCAATCAGTTTTATACTACCTGACAAAAGTCTTGTCGTCGATCCCAGTTGTAAGAGCAACAAGTATTAACTTGACTTCTAGTTGATCATTTGGAAAAGTGGCAGAAGGTACATTTTTCAGATGAATCATCTGTTGAACTGCATCCCAATCATCACAAACACTGCAGAAGACCTATTGGAACCTGCATGGACCCAAGATTTTCATAGAAATCAGTCAAGTTTGGTGATGAAAAAATCATGGTTTGGGGTTTCATTTAGTATGGGGGTGTGCGAGAGATCTGCTGAGTGGATGGCAACATCAACAGCCCGAGGAATCAAGACATTGTTGACAATTATTGAGCGTGTCTGGAGTAAGATGGAGGAGGCATTGAAGATGAATCCAAAGAATCTTAATGAACTCTGGGAGTCCTGCAAGAACACTTTCTTTGCCATTCCAGATGACTTTGTTATTGAGTTATTTGAGTCATTGCAGAGATGTATGGATGCAGTCCTACACGCTCATGGGAGTTATACAACAATATTAATTCTTTGTCCACTGGAGCATGACTTTATATTCTATACTGTACATTATTTATGTTAAGTGACAAGACTTTTGTCTAAGCAAAGTCAGACTTTATTGTCCTAATTAAATAATTAAAAATCAAGACATGGTCATATTTTATTTTGGTAAATTAGGCGTAATCTAGAGGCCTTTGCCTTTTATGTTAGCCACTTTTGATATCAAATTAAGTAGAAGTCAAGTTATTATTTGCTGTTTCTATAACTTGGATGAGGGACAAGACTTTTTTTTTAGTTAGTGTAGTTTATACATAAATATTTTAAATCTTCTTTTTTTTTTTTCAACTCTATCTGGAAAATATAAAAATGGGCAAATTCCGTGTGGGTCTGACTGTATATTTCTGTATATACACGTGTACATTTACTCTGTTCGTCCCACAGCTACCTTAACGATTTAGAGCGTATATCATCTCGGGGATACATGCCCACCCAGCAGGATGTACTGAGGGTCCGAGTGCCCACAACTGGCATCATAGAGTATCCCTTTGATCTGGAGAATATAATCTTCAGGTATCGGCAATCCACGGCACACAATTCCTGCCGCTGCTGTTTCCTGACCTTTAACCTGCTGCTGCAACTGCACTGCTGCCTTCCCTGATCGCATTCTCACCTTTGTTGTTGTTGTTTATTTGCAACTTTTTTTTTTTTTTTTTGAGGTGCTCTGAGTAAGCAGAAGGTTGTAGGGTCGCATCTCTGGATCCTGAGTGTGGCGTTCCTTTTCTGAAGCTTTTTAATGGATCTGCTGCCATGCTTGATTCTTTCTTTTCTTCCTTTTCTCTCCCCGTTTCTCCTTGTCTCTAGCTATCTAAGTGATTTGGAGCGTATCTCAGACCCGTCGTATCTGCCGACTCAGCAAGACGTGCTTAGGGTTCGCATCCCTACCACAGGGATTATCGAATATCCCTTCGACTTGCAAAGCATCATTTTCAGGTAGATCCTAATGTCGGAGAGGACTAATTCTCCACCGGTTTGAATGTCTTGATGTTTGTAGCTTTGATCTTGGCCAGATGAACGAATGTGTTTTGATCCATTGTGATGTTGTTAATGGCTGTTCATTTCCTTTTTAATCATTAACCTCTTTGCGTCAATAACTTCATTAACAATCATGCATTTTAGTTTTTGTCTTTTTTATGCATATAATATTCTGGGTTCTGTGAAATTTGTTTAACCGTAAGGGGGTCTTGCTTATCCTAATCAAAGCCAGGTTCTTGGGTCGAATTTAAGTAGAAAAACTGAGGGGTGTCAACAGCTTTCGTGCAATAATAATTTTTATGAATTGTATGTACAATATTATATTTTTATTTCATATAAAATAATCTTATCAGATAGCCTACTATGTTAGCTGTGCAATCTGACACAATGACACAAATCATAAAAATGAAGCTTCTTTATTTTGGTCTCTTGACAAGACAATATCTGAAACAGATCTTAAATGGTAGGGATTGAGCCAATGGAAGGTTGTGTGACTTATTTAACAAACTTATTTTCTTAAGTCGTGTAAAACAAAAAATTACAAACTGAAATAAGTATAGTTTGATTATATGGTTTGGAATTGGATGTTTTATGAGATCATTTACATTTTGTTGTGATTTAATTTGCATTTAAGCTATATTATAGTTTATTATACATTCAGCTAAATGGGTGCTTGCCAAAGAAATTCAAAAGTACTTGACTTTTTAGTTTTTTGTTCTCGTTTTGTTTTGATTATAAGATGTTTTAAAAATGCTTGAATTTTTTTTACAAAAGACACTTAATAAGGTCAGATTAAGATAGAAAATGAGCATCCCATGCATTTCCAACAAACTCAAAACACTGGGAAAGAAACTCAACACAGTAGAATATAGAAATCACACTGCCTGCTAACATTTTTGGAAGTGTAGACAGACAGAACACGGAAGTATATAACATGTAAATAAGCGGGCTGATTTTGACATTAATCCGGATAAATTTGAAGACGGTGTCTAAAAACGCTCCATGTCCGAACTATTGTTTTCAAATTTTTTTTCATCCACACTAAAAGACTGAAAACGCGTTTATGTACCATGCATGCAAACAATCATAAGACGCTTTTACCCGTGTAGTATTTGCTTGCCATTTATTTACTTACCATCTATAAAATGTTGCTGCAAAATGTCGCAACTGTCGTCTTCTTCCGCCGCTGAACAGCTCCCAGTAAACATTCCATGTCCTTTGAAGAGAGACAATATGAAGCATGTGTTAACAGATATTAGTCATTAATAAAACTCTCAAAACGTGCGGCATCCACAACATCTGCTTTACGACGTCCTCCACTATGTTAGCTGAATTGGTAACAACTATGTCAAATGACTAAAATGCGTCATCGTTTTCAAAAACCTAAGTTTTTTCAATACTTTGGAGTTTTCAAAAAAGATGCGATTCTGTTTCCTAAAAATCTTCGAGTGGACGGAAGGCCAAATTGGAGAGAAAAATGCATTTTTAAACAAAAAAATTATTAGTGTGGACATGACCTGAGGGAAGTGCTGACTGTAGTGCTCGCAGGTCAGCAATATGAGGTGAACTTTTACCTGTCATTTAGATGAACTCTTTTGCATTACTGACTTGAAACTTGTGAATGTGAGTACAGAATAACTCTGTGTACAATATTCCTCAGTAAGTTAAGCAGTCAGTTGTGTAGTGCTACAACCTCCGAAGATAGACACTGTCCCCCAATTACCAATGTGACACCAATTGTACAGATTTCAATTTAGTATTTAATTTATTATTCCTTCTTTTTTACTATTAATTTCTTTACAATATCACAGTGGCTAAGTAGTTAGCACTGTCACCTCACTGCAGGAAAGTTGCTAGTTCAAGTCCCGGCTGGGCCAGTTGGCTTTTGTTTGTGAAGTTTTCATGTTCTCTCCCTGTTCACGTGGGTTTCCTCTGTGTTCTATCTCCCCACCCCAGCATAGTCCAAAAACATGCGATATAGGTGAATTGAATAAACGAAATTGAATAAACTACAGTGTATGAGAGCATGTGTGAATGTGAGAGTGTTGTGTGTTTCCCAATACTGTGTTGCAGCTGAAAGGGCATCTGCTGCATAAAACATGCACTGCAGAAAACATGCCGGTTCATTCCGCTGTGGTGACTTCTGACAAATAAGGGAATAAGTGGAGGAAAAATGAATGAATGAATATCGCTCCCAAGCAGCCTCCCACTGGGATCTAGTGCCTGCTTCATGAGAAATATATTTAAGGGCTGCTGTGTTACATTTATTAAAAATTAAAGTGGAAAAATATATAATTCCATCTAGGAACAAATCATGAATTGGGGTCATAAAATCACAAGTCTGGTTGTATCTTCTAGTCAGAAGCTAACACTTGTAAAGAAGAAAAATCCCACACCTGACTGTAAATGAACACTTCTGGAAAAAAAGAAAAGATACACGCATCACCCCAGCTGAAAGGAGTTAAAAATATCAGCAAAAATACAATGTTTGGCATTTCTACTCAATTTAACAAGGTCCAAGTAAATAAAAAAAAGTAAATGTTTATTTATTATAACCATTTTGTTTTTTTTTTCTGTCATAACTACCTATTTAAATACCTAAACCATTCAGAAAGTGAAATAGATTTTGATTTTTTTTTTCACTCCTAGTAATGCCAGGCCTAGGTACCATCACAAAATTAAATTCAGCAAAAATCAGTTTTAATCATTTGTATTAAAAATAATAATTGTATTCTTCATTCTTTGACAATAGCTACACAAAAGCTCAGAGTCCAGAACGCCAACTAGATCACACACACAGCTGAGCATTAGCACACAGCCAGGAGTTTCAGCTCAGGACTATGAAGGGGAGGGGGGGACGATTACGAACAGCAGGTGATGCACCAACAACAAGCCCCTTCACAACCCCCCTGTTCAGATGAGATGAGAGAGAAAGCCTCTGAAGAGAGCCAATCACAAAAGCCCACCAATCGATTGAAAGCCAGCGTGTCAAACCCCTCCTACGCACACCGATGCCAAAAATAACTTCACTCTTAACATGAAGAAAAAAATCTCCCTCAATGTTTATTGAGAATTTCAAACAAACACTCACTTCCAAACAACTGCGAACGGTGGCTAGGTCACATTCCATCTAAATTATGGTGCGTTTTTTTTTTTTTTATGGGTCGCATATTATTACATGCAGATGAACTGTAGAGGGTGTGTTATGCAATACAGGTGAAGTGTTTCGGTTAAAGCCATTCAATTCAAGTTTATTTGTATTGCACTTTTTTATGATGCAAAACATTTCAAAGCAGTTTTACAAACAATTAAGGGTAACGTGGTTATTATAGCTTACTGTTCAAATAATGCCCGTATTGCAGAAGTGTAATCATGCATGTAATGACAGTATTCAAGCAGAATGAACGTGACTAAGGTGTTAAATGAATACATTCTGTGATCATGATTGTGGTGTTGGATCATTTCTTATCTAAAACCGATCTGGTATAATTTCTAGCTACCTGGATCCAGATGTAGAAACATAATGCAATTGGACACAAATCAGTGTAGCTACTTTTCATGACATTTTGAGCAAAATATCTAGTAATATGTCATCCGGTACATTATTTGGATGCTTCCTTAATGAAATACATCTTTAATCTCGATTTAAATTCAGTATATCTGTAGACTTTTTTTCAGAGATTTCCGAGCCAAGTTTTAAAACACTCGTCTTGCTTTTGTGTTTTTTGCTAGAAGTCTTGAGATTTGCAACCTTAAAGGACTAGTTCACCCAAAAATGAAAATGACCCCATAATTTACTTCAAGCTGTCCTCTGCTTGTAGGCCTTTTTTTTCCTCTTTCAGACAGACACAATAGTTTTTAATTTTATCTTGCTCTTCCATGCTGTATAAGGTCCTGATCACACCAAATGCGCTTGTTGCATTGAGAGGTGCATCTTTTGAATAGTTTTCTAATGGCTGCAAGCATTTTTGCACTACTTATGGGCCTTGCACGCCTCGCATTTAACCGCCTGCTGCACCTTGTGCTTTTGCCATTGCACACTGTGCGCCCGCAGTTAAAAAAAATCCACTCTGAACAGAAAAAACGCATTACGCCAGTCACGTCTTTTTCATTTTCCAATCAAATGAAATCAGAGGCGGGGTTTCCATTGAGTTGACAGCAGAGTTTGTGTTGTCACAACGACTACAAAGACTTTAAAAAATAGAGGAGACACTTGTGGTCGCTGTTTTGAGTTATCCGAAGCTTCACATATCTTAAATATCACCATATTATTCAGTATTACAATTGTAACCGTATCAACAGCAATGATCGCACACAACATGCCGCTTATTCAGTCGTTGCCTATTAACATAAAACACAGTGCATTTCTTTTCTTTTTTCTTGTCAACAAAAACTGCAGTGTGATGCACTTCGCGTTTTTACAATGGAAAATTGCGTTCTGTGTGATCTTTGCTGGTTTTTGCTAGAAGTCCCGAGTTTTCCAACCTTAAAGGACTAGTTCACCCATAAATGAAAATTACCACAATTTTTTTACCATGTTTCTTAAGCCATGTAATTTTTTAATGTAATTTATGTAATTTTTTTAGATGAACAGTGTTGTTTTAATTTTATCCTGCTTTACTCTATAAGGCCTATATCACACCCAATGCACTTTTTGCATTAGAGGCCGACACAATCTCACGGCAATTCGTAACTTTTTGATTGGGTGGCTAATTCATATAAATTTGTACGATCTAATTTGTACAATTTAGTACGATTTGCTCATCACACAATGGCGGTTGGGGTTTGGGTGCCACACCTCCTATTTAAAGTCATACATTTTCATACGACTGAACTCGTACGAATTAGCCACTAAACTGAAAAAACGTAAAATACATAAGTTTCCTCGTGAGATCAGGCTGGAGAGGTGCATCTTTTGAATGGTTTTCTAATGGCCGGCAACATTTTGCGTGTTGCTT